GAACAGAAAACCAAATATCACATGTTCTCACTTATAAGCGGGAGTTAAATGATGAGAACACATGGACACATAGAGAGGAACAACAGACACTGGGGCCTGTTGGAGGGCAGAGGGTGGGAGGAGGTAGAGGATCAGGAAAAATAACTAATGGGCACTAGGCTTAATAGCTGGGTGACAAAATAATCTGTAAAAAAAACACCCCTGACTCAAGTTTACCTATATAACAAACCTCCATGTGTACTTCAGAACTTAAAATAAAAGTTAAAACAATAAAACACTGATTTAAGGTCATTTTCTTGGTCTTTTTTTTTTTTTTAGAGACAAGGTCTCTCTATGTTGTTCAGGCTGAGCTCTAACTCCTGGGGCTCAAGTGATCCTCTCACCTCAGCCTGCTAAGTATCCCAAGTAGCTGGGACTACAGGCTTGCGACTTCTACGTCATTTTCAATCAGTGTTTCCTGTCCTACAGTCAGCTGATTGTATATGCATACCCGTGTGCTAGCAGGACATTCAGTGTTCAGGGGATGCCGTGAGTGCAGCTAAGATGCCAGCATGATGTATCATGTTCCTGTGTCTGCTTGCTTCATGGATACCCATGTTTTGTTTGATAGAGTGAAAGAAGGCCTCAGATCTCCTTCTAGCCCCTTAGATGGGATTTGAACCACCCAAGGAAGGAACTATTTATGAAATTCTCTATGAGATACTGGATAAGGATCAGAAACCGGAAGAAGGCTGACTGAGCTTCCAGTTTTTGGAGACTTCCCAAAATAACTAGGAGACCTAAGAATGGCTATGTCCCTTTTCAGATATGTCTACTGTAGTTTGGGCTTTGAAAGTTAGTAAGCCCATAGAGGTGGCTTACCCCCATAATCCCAGCACTTTGGGAGGCTAAGGTGGGAGGATCACTTTAGCTCAGGAGTTCGAACCTGGGCAACACAGTGAGACCCCCATCTGTACAAAGAAATAAAAATGAGCCAGGAGTGGTGGTTTGTGCCCATTGTCCTGTCTACTCGGGTGACTGAAGTGGGAGAATCACTTGAGTCCAGGAGGTCAAGGCTGCAGTGAGCCATAATCACAGCACTGCACTCCAGTCTGGGCGACAGAGCAAGACCCTGTCATTAAAAAAAAAAAAAGGTAACTAGCCGGGCGAGGCGGTGGGCGCCTGTAGTCCCAGCTACTCGGGAGGCTGAGGCAGGAGAATGGCGTAAACCCAGGGGGCGGAGCTTGCAGTGAGCTGAGATCCAGCCACTGCACTCCAGCCCGGGTGACAGAGCCAGACTCCGTCTCAAAAAAAAAAAAATAAATTAAAAAAAAAAAAAAAAAAAAAAAGGTAATGGGAATTCGTGTCGTAGCCACAGGCTTATCAAGCCTGGATGTAGCTTGTATACCTATGATGATTGTTATGCTAAATTAAAGAAAAAATTATCAAGATAAAACAATTTATACGTCTTTATTCTAATTTCAGTGGTAAATAGAAAATTGCATTTAGCAAATTAAAACTTCATAGAGATATTATTTCTTATCTATGAGATTGCCAAAAGTTCAAAAGTTTGCTAACATACTCCATTGGTCAAATTATAGAGAAACAGATGCTCTTATACATTGCTCATCAGCACGTACAATGGCATAGCCCCTATCCAGGGCAATTTGGCAATACCTACCAAAAATATACATTTACACTTGGACCCAGCCATTTTATTTCTAGGAATCAATCCCAAAGATAATACTGGCAAAATAAGCAAAAGAGAAGTGCAAGGGTATTCATCACAGCACTGTTTGTAAGAGCAAAAGATGGAAATAATCCAAATATCCATCAGTAGGGTACTGGTTAAATATAGTACAGCCACATAATGCAGTACTATCCAATTATGAAAAGAAATGAAGCCTACCTTGATAGTCTTCTAATAAAGAGAAGATTTCTCCAAATAAACTTTCTTTTGTAGATTTGCCTTTGAAACTATGGAAATATTTCACAGAACTTTAAAACAAAAATTAAATTTGAAAAAACAATCCCCAAACAACCAAAAGCAAAATGAGACAGTGAACCCAATTCTACATCATGTTAGTGGCATGACCACACACAGAGTAGGAATTTTAAGTAATTTAAAAACATGGTAATTCCACTGTATATTCATAATGGGCTGTTACCTCGGACAAAAAGAACTGTAAAAGAAGAAAAAATTCAACTGTTTTCACTATCTTTTACTTTTGGTAAATAAGTAATTATGTTAATATCATTGGGAACTGGGACTTGCAGTATGGGTTTTTCCGTAAGAAAGGAGAAACTGATGGAAGATTTCAGAAAGTTAATTTAAAAACCTTACAATTTTCCATTTGAGTTGGAAATACTAGTATGTAATAATATAAAACACATTTTATGTTTCATCTTTCAAAATTATTTCCTAACTCTGCCCATGAAAAGACCTTAAATCAAAGAGCAACCCAGGGACAGTGAGCAGTTTGTGATCCCTAAATATTTCCCCACGAAAGGAACCAGGGCTCATTGAAGAAATGGGTTTCTCCAGATCGGGGATGGGAAATGTATAAGATGAGCCCAGGTCATCTATGCTCATTACCAGAAAGCAAGGTAGCTAACAAACACTTAACTAGGGCCAGTTGGGGTGGCTCATGCCTGTAATCCCAGTGCTTTAAGGGTTACGGGCTGAGGAGGGCAGATTGCTCGAGGTCAGAAGTGTGAAACCAGTCTGGGCAATGTAGCAGGACCCCATGTCTACAAAATTAAAAAAAAAAAAATAGTGGGCACGGCAGCTCATGCCTATAGTTCCAGCTACGTAAGAGGATTGCACGAGCCCAGGAGTTCAAGGCTGCAGTGAGCTATTGTACCATTGCACTCCAGCCTGGGCAAGAGTGAGACCCTGTCTCAAACAAAACAACCACTTAACTAGAATTACGTCAAAAGAACTCAGGATCCAACTTGCGAGGGCTCACAGTGACTAAAAATGGGACAATTTGGGGATCAATAGGAATAGTATCGACAATATAGTGAATCACTTTAAATATGTTTAAGTCCATTAGTTCTTAATAGAAAGAAAACCTTTATTGGCTCACTTTTGTGGCTATTAGATAACCAAATGATTATTTTGAAAATTGGGGCTGGGTGCAGTGACTCATACTTGTAAACCCAGCACTTTGGGAGTATGAGACAGGAGGATCATTTGAGGCCAGGAGTTTGAGACCAGCCTGGGCAACATAGTGAGACCCCATTGCTAAAAAACTAAAAAAAAAAAAAAAAATAGCTTGCCTGCCATACCAGCTCTTTGGGAGGTTGAAGCAGCAGGGTAGCTTGAGCCTGGGAGGTTGAGGATGCAGTAAGTCGTGATCATACCACTGCCTTTCAGCCTGGGCAACAGAGCAAGACCTTGCCTCGAAAAAGAGAAGGGAAAGGAAGGGAAGGGAAGGGAAGGGAAGGGAGAAAGAGAGAAAGCAAGTAAGCAAGAAAGAGAAAGAAAGAAAGAGAAAGGAAGAAAGGAAGGGAAAAATTGTGGTAAATAAAGGGAAAAATGGAAGCAATTTCTCTTTATAGAAGTAATACACATAATAAATGGTTTGATCTATCATTCTATATCACCATTTCACAATCCCTACTGAAATAATGGATCTAGGCAATGATCATCACAAAAAGAGAGGCAAGTAGTCTTACCAAAATATTCCAGCATCAATCTAATCAAGTTCTAGCTAGAGCTGCTGGTCTATCAGAACAAATACAGGGGACCGAGGAACATGTTAAATAATACAACAGGGCTGCAGTTAGGAAAATGTAGACTGATTTCCTTCATAAGTAATTTGTAAGGAGGAGAAACAACCCAAAGATTTTTAAAAGTGTTAGGAAACACAGCAACCAATGGCAATGTATGGGACCTTACTTGGATCAGTATTTGAAAAAACTATAAAGAATTTATGAAAGAACTGAAGAAATTTGGATATTACCATATATAATGATATTAAGAAAATATTGTTATTATGTTGTGTAAAATAGTGTTTTATGGGGGTTTTTTCAAGAATTCTTACTGTTTAGAGATGCATGCTAAATAGTTATAAATGAAATGACCTGTCTAGGATTTGCTCTAAGTAATTTGCACAGTGATTTAGATTAGAGATCAGAGATAGTGTCTATATTAGAGGTAGTAATCTAGATGTAGTGATATACATTGAAGAAGACTGGCCAAATGTTGATGATTTTGAAGCTGGGTGATACATAGGTCAGAAGAGTTGATTATACTAGCAGCAAGAGAAGGGAAATTTCACAAGTGAGCTGCAGTCACCCAATTCTCTGCCTGAAGATGACACAGAGAGCCAGACTCCAAGTAGAGCACAGTGGCCTTGCTGAGCTGAGGAGGCAGAGATCAGAAACTAGAAGTTGGATCAGCTAAAATGTTTGGTATCTGGATGAAGAGGCATCAGAAAGGAGGGAGCTGTGCAGATGAGGCCCTTGGGAGTTGAGGTGGGTGCCTTCTGGGAATATGTGGCATGGCTGGATGGTACATGCACAGGACACAGCTCCCCATGGTAGAAGCTACTGTGTACTTACCAGACAGCAACTTCTTCAGGATTGAAGGTGATGCCCATAGCAGAGGGTTAGTAGTCCTGGGGCATTCTGGAATGCCCTGTATGAGAAATTTCATTACCTCTCATTAATGTATCTGGCACCCAGGTGAGATCCCAGATAGGCTTTAAGAATAAGGACATGCCGACCAGGTGCGGTGGCTCACGCCTGTAATCTCAGCACTTTGGGAGGCTGAGACGGGTGGATCACAAGGTCAGGAGATGGAGACCATCCTGGCTAACACAGTGAAACCCCGTTTGTACTAAAAAAAAATACAAAAAATTAGCTGGGCACGATGGCGGGTGCCTGTAGTCCCAGCTACTCCAGAGGCTGAGGCAGGAGAATGGTGTGAATCTGGGAGGCAGAGCTTGCAGTGAGCCGAGATCACGCCACTGCACTCTAGCCTGGGTGACAGAGCAAAACTCTGTCTCAAAAAAAAAAAAAAAGAATAAGGACACACCCTGTCAAAGCCTAAGTCAAGCCCCAACATCTCTTCCAAACTTAAGCCAGTTGGGGAAGGAAATGCAATTTTAGTAAAAAAGAGAACAAAAGGAGAATGGGTGCACTGGACCAATTTTACCTAATGTTTAATATTGCTGAAGATGGATGTGGGGGATGTTATGAGGATAAGGGGGAGTGTGAGGAAGGAGGAAGAGGAAATAGCACATGGGGAGGCCCAGACATGATGGAAGCTGGTTCCACAGAGCTAAGAAAAGAACTGTTTCACTGGTACCAAACCCAGATTTTCTCTCATTTTCACATCTCTGAAATCAGACATCCCTTGCAATGTAAGTTATTTTACCATTTTAATTGGCAGAATTGTTTTTTCTTAATGTCACATAAAATAATGGTGCATCTTATGGTTGATATTTCAGACTTACTGAAATATGGTAGTCATGTTAGACTCGAGAAAAAGCATAAGTTAAGAACTTACAGGAAGAAAGGCTGAAGAACTCAACAGGTGGGCACACCATGCATCTAGTATTAAAGGGGTTGAATTTTATCCCAAGTATAATGAGAAGCCATTAAAGGATTTTAATAGTGGACTAGCTTGATCAGATTTGTATATTTTGGAAAATAACTGATATGGTTTGGATATCTGTCCCCTCCAAATCTCATGTCGAAATTCCATCCCCAGAGTCTCAGCCTTGCCACTGCCCAAAGACTGCTGAGTCCCTGTCCATCCGCTGCCACCACCCACTCCGGACACAGAACATCCAGTCATGGATAAAAATGAGCTGGTTCAGAAGGTCAAACTGGCCAAGCAGGCTGAGCAATATGATGACATGACAGCCTGCATGAAGTCTGTAACTGAGCAAGGAGCTGAATTATCCAATGAGGAGAGAATCTTCTCTCAGTTGCTTATAAAAATGTTGTAGGAGCCCGTAGGTCATCTTGGAGGGTCGTCTCAAGTATTGAACCAAAAAGACGGAAGGGGCTGAGAAAAAGCAGCAGATGGCTCGTGAATACAGACAGAAAATTGAGATGTAGCTAAGAGATATCTGCAATGATGTACTGTCTCTTTTGGAAAAGTTCTTGATCCCCAATGCTTCACAAGCAGAACAAAGTCTTCTATTTGAAAATGAAAGGAGATTACTACCGTTACTTGGCTGAGGTTGCCGCTGGTGATGACAAGAAAGGGACTGTGGATCAGTCACAAGAAGCATACCAAAAAGCTTTTGAAATCAGCAAAAAGGAAATGCAACCAACACATCCTATCAGACTGGGTCTGGCTCTTAACTTCTCTGTGTTCTATTATGAGATTCTGAACTCTACAGAGAAAGCCTGCTCTCTTGCAAAGACAGCTTTTGATGAAGCCATTGCTGAACTTGATACATTAAGTGAAGAGTCATACAAAGACAGCACACTAATGCAATTACTGAGAGACAACTTGACACTGTGGACATCAGATACCCAGGAGACGAAGCTGAAGCAGAAAAAGGCAGGGAAGATTAACTGGCCTTCCAACTTTTGTCTGCCTTATTCTAAAATTTACACAGTAGACCATTCCCGTTGTCATCCATGTGGTCCCACAAACTTTTTTGTTTACAACTTATGACAGGTTTATGTTACTTCTATTTGAATTTCTATATTTCCCATATGGTCTCTATGTTTAATATTAGGGGAGTGGAGCCACTTAACATTCAGGGAGTTATCTGTTTTCATCTTGAGGTGGCCAATATGGGGATGTGGAATTTTTATACAAGTTATAAATGTTTGGTATAGTACTTTTGGTACATTGTGGCTTCACAAGGGCCGGTGTTAAAACTGCTTCCATGTCTAAGCAAAGAAAACTGCCTACATATTGGTTTGTCCTGGTGGGGAATAAAAGGGATCATTGGTTCCAGTCACAGGTGTAGTAATTGTGGGTACTTTAAGGTATGGAGCACTTACAAGGCTGTGGTAGAAACAGATACCCCATGGATACCACATGTTAAATCATGTACATCTGTGGAATAGTCAATCTCACAACCTTTGACTACAACTGCAGAAGTGTTCCTTTAGACAAAGTTGTGATGTATTTTACTCTGGATAAGGGCAGAAATGGTTCACATTGCATTATTTGTAAAGTTACCAGCTGTTAGCTTTCATTATTTTTGCTACACTCATTTTATTTGTATTTAAATGTGTTAGGCAACCTAAGAACAAATGTAAAAGTAAAGATGCAGTAAAAATGAATTGCTTTGATCATTACTTCATATATATCAAGCACAGCAGTAAAAAAAAAAAAAAAAAAAAAAAACCCATGTATTTAACTTTTTTTAGGTTTTTTGCTTTTGTGATTTTTTTTTTTGATACTTGCCTAACACACTTGTGCTGTAGAAACATAGTTAACAGAGAAATAACTTGAGATGACGGCTAGCTTTGTTTAATGTCTTATGAAATTTTCATGAACAATCTAAGCATAATTGTTAAGAACAGGTGTATTAAATTCATGTAAGAGGAATAAAAGTTTTATGAATGGAGTTTTCAACTACTTTCTCTACAGCTTTTCATGTAAATTAGTCTTTTGGTTCTGAAACTTCTCTAAAGGAAATTTTACATTTTTTGAAGTTTATTCCTTATTCCCTCTTGGCAGCTAATGGGCTTTTACCAAGTTTAAACACAAAGTTTATCATAACAAGAAAAATACTACTAATATAACTACTGTTTCCATGTCCTATGATCCCCTCTCTTCCTCCCTACCCTGAAAAAGAAATAAGTTCCTATTTTTTCTGGGAGAGGGGAAGATTGTTTGGAAAAAAAATGTAATATGCTCCATTTAAAATTTTGGTATATGGTGAGAGGTTCCAAGATGGCTGAATAGGAACAGCTCCAGTCTACAGCTCCTAGTGTGAGTGACACAGAAGATGGGTGATTTCTGCATTTCCAACTGAGGTACCAGGTTCATCTCACTGGGGCTTGTCGGACAGTGGGCGCAGCCCACGGGGTTTAGCTGAAGCAGGGCGGGGCATCGCCTCACCTGGGAAGTGCAAGGGGTTGGGGAATTCCCTTTCCTAGCCAAGAGAAGCTGTGACAGATGGTACCTGGAAAATCGGGACACTCCCACCCTAATATTGCGCTTTTCCAATGGTCTTAGCAAACGGCACACCAGGAAATTATACCCCATGCCTGGTTCAGAGGGTCCCACGCCCACAAAGCCTCACTCACTGCTAGCACAGCAGTCTGAGATCCAACTGCAAGGCAACAGCAAGGCTGGGGGAGGGGCGTCCACCATCGCTGAAGCTAGAGTAGGTAAACAAAGCAGCAGGGAAGTTTGAACTGGATAGAGCCCACTGCAGCTCAAGGAGGCCTGCCTGCTTCTGTAGACTCCACCTCTGGGGGCAGGGCATAGCTGAACAAAAGGCAGCAGAAATTTCTGCAGACTTAAACGTCCCTATCTGACAGCTTTGAAGAGAGTAGTGGTTCTCCCAGCACAGAGTTTGAGATCTGAGAATGGACACACTGCCTCCTCAAGTAGGTCCCAGATCCCCGAGTAGCCTAACTGGGAGACACTTCCCAGAAGGGGCCTACTGACACCTCATAACACCTCACACAGCCGGATGTCCCTCTGAGATGAAGCTTCCAGAGGAAGGATCAGGCAGCAACATCTGCCATTCTGCAATATGTGCTGTTCTGCAGCCTCCGCTGGTGATACCTAGGCAAACAGGGTCTGGAGTGAACCTCCAGCAAACTCCAACAGACCTGCAGCTGAGGGTCCTGACTGTTAGAAGGAAAACTAACAAACAGAAAGGACATCCACACCAAAACCCCATCTGTATGTCACCATCATCAAAGACCAAAGGTAGATAAAACCACAAAGATGGGGAGAAACCCGAGCAGAAAAGCTGAAAATTCTAAAAATCAGAGCACGTCTTCTTCTCCAAAGGAATGCAGCTTCTTGCCAGCAAAACAACAAAGCTTGACGAAGAATGACTTTAATGAGTTGAGATAAGAAGGCTTCAGATGATCAGTAATAACAAACTTCTCCAAGCTAAAGGAGGATGTTCAAATCCATCACAAAGAAGCTAAAAACCTTGGACAAAAATTAGACAAATGGCTAACTAGAATAAACAGCGTAGAGAAGACCTTAAATGACCTGATGGAGCTGCAAACCATGGCACAAGAACTACACGATGCATGCACAAGCTTCAGTAGCCAATTCCATCAAGTGGAAGGAAGAGTATCAGCGATTGAAGATCAAATGAATGAAATGAAGTGAGAAGAGAAGTTTAGAGAAAAAAGAGTAAAAAGAAATGAACAAAGCCTCCAAGAAATATGGGACCTGAAAAGACCAAATCTATGTCTGATTGGAGTACCTGAAAGTGATAGGGAGAATGGAATCGAGTGGGAAAATTCTTCAGGATATTATCCAGGAGAACTTCCCCAACCTAGCAAGGCAGGCCAACATTCAAATTCAGGAAATACAGAGAATGCCACAAAGATACTTCTCGAGAAGAGCAACACCAACACACATAATTGTCAGATTCACCAAAGTTGAAATGAAGGAAAAAATATTAAGGGCACCCAGAGAGAAAGGTTGGGTTACCCACAAAGGGAAGCCCATCAGACTAACAGTGGATCTCTC